TATGCACTAGTGCCCACTGTTACTCGTACCTTCTTTCCCTGGAAACCAGCAGACCATAAAGATGCCACATTTGGGCAGGTTATTTTGATGCAGGACAAAAAATGTCCTCCATGCAATGGAAAAACCCTTCTTCTCTCTCACCAAAGAAGGCAAAGGTAACACCGTCAAGGGGAAAGGTCATACTTTCGTGTTTCTGGGATTGTGACCGCATTATCATGACTGACTCCCAGGGAAATGGAAAAACAGTTACAGGAGACTACTATTCGGCTTTGCTGAAAAGATTTTGGTCCGAATTTGTAAAGTAAAAGTCGTGGAAAATTCCGTAATTGGCTCCTCCTACTGCATGACAACCTCCCTGCGCACAGGGCACAACAAGTAGTCCAGTCAGCAGAACAGTGCGGCTTTGAAATCCTGCCACACCCAGCTTATTCACCAGACCTAGCGCCTTCTGACTTTTTTTTGTTTCCTTATCTTAAAAAATAAATCACTGTAAGGATGTCTTTTCCATGACGATGAGGATGCCATTGAGGTTTTTCGTGGAAGACTGGTTAGGGGTCCATTCTGGGTCTTTTTTTTTCTAAAGGACTTTTGAAAGTCAAAGAGAGGTGGCAGAAATGTGTTACTCTGCATCGTGACTATGTAGTGAAATGAAAGTAATAATAATACGAGCGCAATTACAGCTTTTGCCTCCCGCATTTCCCCACAACATGGGCCCTAGGCGTACAAAGGAGATTAAAAACGCATTCATGCTAACACCATACAAATTCATCATGAGTGCACATTTTGACAGCAACATTCTTTCAGACGATAAAAAATGCTCATACAAAAAGGCAAGGTATTGTCCATTAATTAAAATATTTTTTTAATAGATGTGTTTTGAGTCCCCTTTTGAAGGTATCAAGTTTTATTTCGGTCCTCAAATCACGAAGGAGAGTGTTCCAAACTGTTGGCCCCTGAAAAAGAAAAAGCTTTCTCACCTTATTTCTTCTGTAACACACGAGGTGTTGAAATTCGTCTAGAGCCACTGGATCTTAGTTTACGTGATGATGTGTATGGTACTATGAGTTCTTGAATGTATGTTGGAGGCTGGTTAGTTTGACCTTTGAAACATAGTAGGGCTAACTTATATTCGATTCTCGCTTTCAGTCTAGGCCAATGGAGCTCTTTAAAGAGGGGAGTTACATGATGGCGTTTTGATTGCTTTATCACTAGCCTGGCAGCATTGTTTTGAATGCGTTGCAGTTTTGCAACTTTTTCTTCTGGTAGGCCAGCGAACAGTGAATTGCAATAATCAATGCGAGACAAAATGAAAGAAAACATTAGTTTTTTTTATGGCATCAGTGCTAAGAAATGTCCTTATGTGAGCAATTCTTCTCATTTCTAAGTATGACATTTCACATAGATCGTTAAGTTGGGTCTCCATGGAGAAGTCTTTGTCTAAGTATACTCCAAGATTTTTTTGCTTTGCTCGAAAAGCGACAGTACCTTTGCCAATGGTGAGACATTGTACATCAAGAGCATTTAGCTTTTGAGCTGGTTGAGCATGTTATGATTTCTGTTTTGTCATTATTTTATTTCAATTTATTTTCAGCCATCAATGCTTTTACAGATTCAAAACATTCTGAGGTGTCTTTTATCAGGGATTAAATATTGTTTGGTTTTGCAGACTTGTAAAGTTGTATATCATCTGCATACATATGGTAGGGCATGGAATGGTGTCTGATGGTACGACCAAGAGGTAAGGTGTACATAGTGTATAGCACAGGTCCTAGGACTGACCCCTGGGGCACACCAAATTCCTACAATTGATGAGAGGACTGCATGCCATTAACAACAACAAAGTATAATCTATCATTGAGGTAAGATCGAAACCATTCAAGTCCGGTGCCAGATATTCCGAACATGTCCAACAAACGACTCAACATGATGTTGTGGTCTAAAGTATAAAATGGTGCTGACAGGTCTAAAAGTGAGAGAATGGATATCAAACCCTCATCTACAGCAATGAGTAGATCAGAGACAATTCTGAGCAAAGCAGTCTCTGTACTATGATTTTCTCTGTATGCCGATTGAAATTGCTCAAACAAGTTATTTTTTTGTGCAAGAACAACGTTTTCCAAAACTTTGGAAGGAAAAGGTAACTTTGATACTGGACGGTAGTTCTTTAGGTCATTAGGGTCAAGGCCAGGCTTTTTAATCAGAGGTAAGATATATGCTGTTTTGAAGCATGGTGGAACTGTATTCTCGCTTAATGATGTGTTCACAATTGAAGTTATAACATTAATGATATCATCAATATGACTGTGCAATACGTCACTAGGCATTGGTTCTAAATGACAGGATTTTGGTGGGCATGCCATGACAGTGTCTTTCACAAATTCACAACTAACTGACTTGAACGTTTCAAGCGGTTCACCATTAAATGATTCAGACATTGGAATGTTATTTATGTTGTTCTTTGAGTCTAATCCTTGTCGAATTTGGACAACCTCGTTATGAAAGTAAGTACATAATTTGTCTGGCAGTGTTTCCATTGAAACATTATTTGGCAAGATTTTTGTTTTGGCTTGTCAACTGAGTTCTCTTGTTATCTTAAATAAAGCTTTTGAGGATGGAAATTCAACAAATTGTCCAAAATAGTACTTTTTCCGATCAATATTAGCACAAGATTTCACTTTATGGTTAAGCTGTTTAAACATATTTGCTTGGGAACTGTCAATTTGGAATTCCTCCATCTTCTCTTTTGGCAGCACGTCTTCGTTCCTGTTTGAGCTGTTTGAACTCCGAAGAGAGCCAAGGTGCAGACTGGCGGCAGGTGACAACTCGAGCTCGAAGCGAGGCCTATTTGTCCAAGTGTTCACGAACCACTCTGTTATAGGTGTCGGTAAGGTTGTTGCTGTTGCCTTCGA